CCAGCTGGGTCTACAGGGAAACCTTGACTTAAAACAAAGAAAAGATGTCTTTTATCTGGAACTGCTGTCTTTTAGCTGGAGTTTCAAAAAAACAAAACAAAACAACAACAAAGAAAAACCTTGCTAGTAGGGAGAATCTTAGATAATAATATAAGAAATTTGAGGTTTTTAAAAAAGGCTTATAGGCTGGTTGGATAGTGCAGCTATTAAAGGCTAAGGCTAACAACCAAAATGTTAAAAAAAAAAAAAAGGATTTTAATAAACTCCAACACTGCTCCATCCTGGCTCACCCTTAAATTCTCTCCTGTGATGAGATCAAGAATCTGGTTTTACCTATGTATGGGTCCCTAAACTATTATGGGACTCCTCAGACTGATGCAGGCAACGGCATTGAGCCCCCATCCCTGACACTGCTGACATCTCCTTTAGGTGCTCTTCTAAGATCCATCTAAAATGTTGGTGAGTTTCCCAAACTATGTAGCTATTCTGTTTTACTCTTAGCTTCTATGTTACCTTCTTTTGTTTGTTTTTGCTTTTACTTCTGCTTTCTGGCCAGAGATCCATGTAGTATTTAAGGAGTGCAGCTAGCACCAAGACAGAAATTACCTAGAGTCATGCATACCCCATTCTTTGGTCAGATGGAACAGGTCTTCCTGGGAGGGCATGACCACCTGGTCATCCATCAATTTCCAAGCCATTTTCCTGCCTTCAAGAAAGCCACCAAGACACAAGAACCAGCCACGCAGAATGAGGGAACAATTCCCCCAAAGTAGCACACTCTGGATGTAAAGCTCATTAGGAATGGCCATGTCTGTACTCTTTCTTGATTCTAAAATCTTAGTGTTTCTCCGAGTTTTTTCTACATGCTTCCTAAAAACTCTTGCTTTACTTTCCGTGGAGCTAGTAGCATTGGGCAAAGGGAACTTTGTGTCTTCGAAGCTATTTTACCATCCTGCTTTTACAGCCTCAGGCTTTTCTCCTTGTTGAGACTCTGATTTCCCATCCTTAATTCTGTATTTCCATTAGATGTTTTGAGGAAGGGGCTTCCATAAATTTCAAGGTCAAAATAAAATTTAGACCCCCATGCCTTATCATTTTATGAGATGTTAAAATCCAGCTGCTGTGTCAAACTATGCCTTTAAACTTTGGTAAAGACTATGCTCATAAGGTATACTCAGATACCCAGGGATTCTTGAAAGTATTCATTGGAGCTTCAAGGATGACCAGTGCCTCATTAATGACTATACTGTGTGGATTGATTCTGGGGGGGAACTCATGAGCCTTCCAGGTTATACTGAATGGGCTGATGGTGTTTGACCCAAGTTGGAAAGTTGGAAAGGTCTCTAAGGGCACCTGGAGGGAAAAACACTGAATGTCCAGTTAATGGTTATACTGGACAAATTGTTGGCTGATCCAGGTGGACTGTATTAGTCAGGGTTCTCTAAAGAAAAAGAACCAAGAATGAATATATATATTCCCTAGATATGGATTTATCAGGATAGAGTACAAGTGGTCCAACAATGCCTGCACCACATTGGAGAGGCTAAGAATCTGGTAGTTTCTCAGTCCAGGAGGCTCGATGTCTTAGTAGTCCCAACCTGGTGATGAAGGCCTGACAAATTCCAAGAGAATTCTGCTAGTTTTCAGTCTACTTTGGAATCTGGGTTCAGAAGGTGGGAAAGTTTTTTTTTGAAAAACTTAGGTGGAGGGGGGCAGGAAAAACAGGGCTTGTAAAACCAGCTCCCTTCTGTCTGCCAGCCAGGATCTGGATCAGGAAGTGTTTGTTTTTTGTCCTCATAAGATAAGGGAAAAGCTGCTGTACTAAAGCAGCTTCTGAAGTCTCTGGTTAAAAGGTGGAATCTGTCATCTTGTCTTTGGAGATCAAAGGAAAGGCAAGCTGCCTTTTCGCAGAGTCTGCTTCCCTTGACTTCAAAGACCAGGGTGCTTATCAATTCGGTTCCCTTTTCTCAGGGGCTTGTGAGGTCCGTGAGGCCCTGTTGGAGACAGGGAGGGCGGCTGTGGTTTGGAACCCTAATAATGAGCACTGTGTATATGCACTTGACAACTGGGACAGTGTATCCTCAGTCCTCCTGTTACTGTCCTGGAAGAAGTGAAGCTGTTCTAAGACATTTGTGCTCCTCCCTTTGGCTAGACTATTGAAATTATGTACCCCAAGATATGTGTATTTCCCCAGGAATCTCATGCTGGGAGAAAGAAAAGCTTGGGTGTCTAGTGCCAGCCAGAGGGGGAACTTGTCTCCCAGGAGGTTCGACACAGTTCTGACAACTTGACCGACCATCTTGTAGGATGGGTCGATTAAGAGCTTTGAAAATGATGGGTCAGTGATGAGCAGAACCACACCCTTACTAGGACTCCTTAAAATACCTCTTTCCCTCTATTTCAGCCTAGATCTTGTGTCAGGAACCCAGGGATGGACTTGCGGGGGTGGGGATCACTGGACTTCTTTCTTCCTCTTCCCCAAGTGGCCACAGTGAGTAAATCTTTTTCATTTTTCATGATATTACTGTATCTGAGTTGGCTTATTGAGGACTAGAGGGTAAATTTGGCTTATTAGGACTGTCAGGGCCCAGGCTCTGACCCAAACAACTCCAATACTCCAAGAGTTATATACACAAAAGAAATTTCTTTCTCATACTGCCTTAGTTGTAATGATTTCCATACCATCATGGTTATTAGGAACCTCAAGCTTACAGCACGGAAGGGAGAAAGACCTTTAGCAAATGTAAATTGTGTTGGAATTCTACACTATCTGACAACGCATTTCAACCAGACTCCTGAAGGGTTCTTCTCCATCCCTGGTCCCCATCATTTTCCCTGTATTTTTATCCTGCCTCAATTTCCCCTTCTGAGATTTTGATCCCTTAATCTTAGGGGTGGATGAAAACTAAAGATCATCTTCTACAACTTTATCAGTGCTGAATAGGTTCATAGAAGCCATGTGGAATAAACTTATTAGACCACCAGTTTCCACCACCCAGAGGCTCAGAATGTCATCGGATAGCATCTGAGCAACAGAGATTTCCCCACTTTGCTGTAACCATCAGGTAACATCTGAGGCTTATAGCAGGCTTCCCCAGGCTTGCTGTAACTCACCCACCTGATGTTCCCAGCAATGCATTTGAGAAATACCTCCATTTATGACTTTGTTAAGTTAGTATAAAAGCTTCAAGAGACTATTATCATGTTGAAACATGGTAGGAGGGAAAACCTGAATCTATGTTGCTAGTCCATGGCACCTCAAATTGACTCCAGAATAAACTTTCTCTTATTCCTTCTGAGGTGAAAACTGTGTTTTTGCATCAACGAAGTAATCTCTTTTCATTCCATTAAAACTGTAAACACTTTGACACACTCTTGCCACTGTACTTCCACCTGTGAAACTTAAAGTCATTTACGATCAGTCAAGGAAATAATGCTTCTGCTAGCATTTATTACTAGGAACTGAGGCAATGGTTTTATTTTTAAAGCAAACTTCTATCTCAATTACTTTCAGCAATTTAAGCTGCTATTCAATGCATATAATTTAAATTCTAGATAAAAAGCTAAAATATTTACTAGTGTTATGTTTTATGATATTTGTGAAAGATTTTTACATTCAATACATTGTTTTCTCTAGACAAAAATAAGAGGTAAGATCAGTTTATTAGGTTCAAAGGTTAATGATCAAAAATAATTTCTGCTAAAAGAATAATTACATGCCTATGGCATAATTACTATTGCTTCCAAGAAATAAGTTTCTTGCTGGGCACTTGGGAGGTAGAAGCAGGTAGAGCTCCTGTGAGTTAAAGGCCATCCTGGTCTATATAGCAAGTTCCAGGCTAGTCTAGGCTACATGGTGAGACCCTGTCTAAAAAAACAAAGCAAAAAAGGATGCTTCTTATTTGAAAACATTTGTGAATAGATTATTTGCTGCTTTTAACTTTTACAAAATCATGCCTTTTTTAGAGCCTAGGAAGGATCACTGAATAAATTATACATGAGGATACATGCAGTGCACTGAGACTCTCTAGTCATATATTTTATTAAGTGTTCTTGAAGAACTCACTGTGGCTAAGAAGAAATAAATATATTTTAAATATTTGACTTTCATGGAAAACAGATTGTGAAGAAAAAAGTGTAAGTGCTATATGACTTAAAGGAGTTATACGGTTAAGTAAAATTAAGGTGTGTTTTCAGATTTGAATATAATAATTCAAAGTAATCTGTATAATGATTTAGGCAAAAGGATAATAATTAAATTATCTGTTGAGATTTTGCATGAACAAATAAAATTATACAAAAGCAATGTTTAAAATTTAAGCCTTGTAGGCTGAGTAGATGGCTCAGTCAGTAAAGTGCTTGCCTTGTAAACATAAAGACCTGAGTTCAATTCTGGGTCCCCATGTAAAGAAGACTAGTGCTGTGGTATGTGTTTACAATCCCTGTTTGGGGAAGGCGGAGGACAGGCAGATCGCTGGGGCTGGCTGACCAGTCAACTTCATTTAACGGGCCAATGGGAGGAACAAAACCTGAGGTTGTCTTTTGGCCTCCAAATACATGTGTGATACATGGGCATGTGCACTGGTACACACACAAATATAACGTAAAAAATTTATGCCTCATGGCAACTTTCTACTAGTATGTTACCAGTAGACAAATATGCATAAGAGGAAATATTTAACAATTACATGCTCAATTAATTTGTTATAAAACGAATGAACACATTTGATTCTTATTTTAGTGACCAATTAAGGGCATAATAAAACACTAGCAAAATTAACAAGCATATATTGTAGTATGAGCATAGCTTTACTCCTAAACTTATAAAAAATGCTGAGGATTATAGAATGATATTAATTTTTGTTTATTTTTTCCTTTATAAAAGTGATATAAGTTAAGATCTTTATATTTTTAAAAACTTCATCCCTAACTTCTATAAAGATGTATTAATGCTTGAATTTCAGATTAAAAGAGGTAGGCTAAAATTTTAAATCATGTAGTTAAAAGAGGAGCAATTCAGTTTTATTAAACACTTTGCTCAGAAACACACAATGTCTATCAAGTTTTGACACAATCAATCATTCTAGTTTTCAGACCAGTAAATGTACTTTTATAAACGTCAAAAAAGCTGAGCAGAGTTTTTCCAAGGAGTCTCCTAATTTAGAATGTTAACTGCAGACACATTAAACTATGGTAAAACAAAATTATTACTACATTAAGAATTTAAAGAGAAATGATCATCTAAATGACAACAAATGGTATGAATGTAATATGGAACAAAACCTACATTGTATAAAAAATTTTAAGAAGAAACATTCATGTATATTAGCAATTTAAAATATTCTCCTGAAAATACACTATTTGCTTATTCTTGCCCTTTTTCAAAATAATTTCTTATAAAACTATGTATAAATGTATATATACACACACTATATATATACATATATACATATACATATATATGCACACAGACATACACACTAATATATATTGGGTTTTTTGTGTTTTTTTTTTTTTTTGAGATAGGGTCTCATTCTTCAGCCTGGGCTGACCTTAAGCTCATAGCAATCCTGCCTCAACTTCTGGGCTGGTTGGATCACAGGTGTTAGCTACCAGGCCTGTATCACTAATATAGGCCTGACTTATTATTTTAAATCTTTAAGCTAGCTGATTATAACACATTATAAAATTTGAAGCAAACTATTTAAACTTTCACTAGCAGCATTCTACTATAGTGTTAGCAAACACTGAGTGTATTTTAATGTTACTTTCTTATATTGAACTTGAATTAAATGATAGAACTAGTTCTATAATCAATCTTTGTTAAGTATATGAGTATATAGTCAGTATAAAAATAATTGGGAAATCAAATCAACATGTGAATGCTAGGTTAGTATGTCTTAAAGAGTTTTATAATGTTTACCAATTTAAATCACATTGTTGAACATAAAGATTTTATTCCTAAAGTAATAATGTAAAGCTAGAACTTACAAGAGAATTCAAATTTCAGAAGAAAGTTGCAAACTACAGCACTGATTTAATAAAAGGAGACTGGTCTGATGTGTATGATCTAGCACCATTACTTTTTTGTTAAAACAATCAACTAAACAAATGAAATGCACTGCTATTTATTTTTTGTTGATTTTCACGGGTGATCCTTTGACGTTGAGTTTGTCTGTAAAAGCGTTTGCTCTTCTTCCACTTTCAATGGCTGGACTTTGAAGTTTCTCCCTAAGAAATATACAGATGAACATCAATACTACTTCTAAAATGCACAATGGTTTAAGTCACTGCCAAGTATGTTAAAAGCCATTTTAGAGAGTTTTATCTTACAAATTTCTTAACAGCTTTGGAAAAACAGAGAAAACTTTTTTATTAAACATTTAAGAAAGTAAGGAGATATTTACCTAAGATGCACTTAATTGCTTATAGTTTAGACAGTGCTGTTCCATATGGTAGCCACTGGTAATATTTACACTTAAGAAATTCAACTCCTGAGTTGTACCATCCCCATTTTAAATGTGATTCAGCAGTCACACATAGCCAGTGGTTACCATGTTAGCCAGCACATTTTTATCATGCAGAAGTAATCACTTTAGAAAATGCTACTGGACAGAACTGTTAAGAGAAAATGCAGCTCTTAGGGCTATAGATTTATAGCTCACTCAAAAAGAGTACGCTTTCTCTAACTGGGACCTGGATTTTGTACTTAAACCTAGCACTATTAGATTTTTAACCATAAAGTTTTCAATGTGTGGCAAATATCTAAAACTAATATGAAAGTGAAATTTTAAGTCATTTAAATACAAAATATTCATGCTCTAAATTCCTAAACAAATATTTTCAAAGGAAAGACACCAGCATATGAAATTCTGCACAAGGCTTCTGATTTACTTGATGCCCATTTGTCCAGTGCTGGTTCTGTGAGGCCTTCTAAGGCAATCCTGTACCTTTAGAACCAGGCTGCCCTCGATCTTACAGAGATTTGCCCACCTCTGCCTCCTGAGTGCTGGGATTAAAGGCGTGTACCACCACAACAGGTTTCAAAATATATTTTAATTTTATTTAATGTATGCTTCAGCACACTCATATTACATACTGATAAGACTTCTGCAACATAACATATATTTCTATACATGTATTATGTGCAACTAAGGTTGACCAGGTTCCAGTGAATGAACCCACATCAAAGGGCATTTGGGGACACAAACCTGATTCCATAAATCTTAATATACATATACACATATATTGGAGTATAGGAAATTTGGTGTGGGATTAGTAAGGGATATGAGATATGGAAGCAGATCTGAATATGATGAAAATATATAAAATTTATAAATATTCATCAAAAAGAGGAAAAAAGATATAGCTTTTACCTTCTTTTGTGTTCTCGTGATCCTGAACTGTCATGACCAACACGTTGCATTCTCATGTTTTCTAGATTATGTGATCGTCCATTAGGCTTGTACTTTAAAACCTCATTTTGCCATTCATCATCAAAAGCATGAGCATCACCTATATTAAATATCAAAATAAAGGGAATGAATATTTAGGGTGTTTTTTTTTTTTGTTTTTGAGACAGAGTCTCACTATATAGCTGTTTGGCCTGGAACTCACTATGATGACCAGATTGGCCTTGAATTCACAGAGAGCTGCTCTCCATCTGTTACCCCAGGTACTGGCTCAAAGGCATGAGTCACCATACCTAACCTAAATATTTAAGTTTCTATAGTCAGTGATTGCCTCGGTTCACCATATACTTCATATAAGCCTCATCTCAAGAAAGGGGTAGGAAGCTTCCTGTTCCTCTCGTACTGATGATCTGTTTATTTATGATACAGTTTTCAATCACCTGCTTGATTATCCTATTGTTCTACTTAGAGGACAGGATGACTCAATTCCAGTCATTTGTAATCTTACATACTGAATCATCTACAGTGATCATGCTATTCCCACGTACTTGGATACTCCCCTTCAGTAGCACGCATTTCTATTAAGCTCTTTATATTCTTGACTTAAGCTTGTCAATTTCCCAACACTAGCAAATTATGATGTCATGAAGAAGGTAATCTAACCTCCAAAATAACATGTAGATTATAGTTCTTCTTCTATCCCATTGTCTTTTAAAATTATTTATTTAATAACCACACAATCAGAAGAAGCATTTCATTACAACAGCATTGACATATTCAATAACAATTTACAGAGAGAAGATGCATCTCCTTCAAAATTGGCTATAAATTTTTAGGTTTACTGTTGAATTAATACAGTTACACAATATTGTACTCAATATAAACCTTATAAGACATAAAATTAAATGGTTTTAAACTTTAAAAAAAGATCTCCATTTCACTATTAAAATACACAGTTTCACACAGAATTGAAAATTCATTTTCAGTACAATTGACACTAAGATACACATGCATTTCTAATCTCTCTATGTATGATTATTACTAATCACAGTTGGTTACTTTCTGAGCTCCTTGGCATCTGAGCATGGATATAAAGTCATCAGGTAGAATTCAATGGTAATGTTTTTCACATCCACCAATTATTAAGGAGTAATTTTTATGCTTTGAAGAATTATTTTTTTAATTTATTTATTTTTACACTGACTTCCCAGACTGCACCCACCCATAGCCTCCCTCTCCCCACTAGAGCCCTTATACTCTGATATCCCTGCTACTGTCTGCTGTGTTGTTGGCACCCCCAGCCATTCCCCACTAATTGCCCTTCTGGTGAATTTAGTCAGCCTATCTAGAGGTCTTTGTTTTAGGAGGGTCAGCTGTTCTTCATCTAGTGGTAATCAGTTGTCTATATTCCTTTGGATAAGATTGGAGTCTGCTGTTCATTTTCCCAGTTCTATGCTGAGTTACTATCTGGGAGTCCCTTGGGCACCCTGGTCAACATCTCAAAAGAAGGTATCCTGTCTAGCATTGTTGCTTGTTATGTAGCCTTTAGCTATACATATGGACTCTTATGAAATTATATTGGCCCCTTTAATCTTTCGTTATTCTTTCCTTTTGGGTGTTTAAGGCCATACAGTTGGACCAGATAAACCGATTTATTTTCACTCTTAAGGTCGTTTGAGGATCTGTTCCTCAGGGGTCACATGGGCTTGGGAGGAGCCCCTGGCTCCTTTCTTTTACCAGTTCCACCTATATGAAGATAAGTCAAAGGTCTTGCTTGACCATGGTTGGCTTCGCTTGGAAGCATGGAGGAAATGATTCCTCTCTGTTGACCCTCCTCCTTATAGACTGGATACTGGTTCAACTCCTCAGCCTCCTTGATCAAGAGGACAGGTGACCCACCACCATTATAGGACATTTTGAGAGATGCTCATAGTCCCCTGGAAATAGTCGACCTAGGAGGGCTAGGAATGAAAAGTATCCTTTATGTCCCTCTGACCAAATTATTATAGGCCTCAAAGTATGTCTGTTAAACACCCAAGAAGGTTAGTTCCACCAGTCTTGTATTTTTAATTACTGTGTGTCATGTAGAAAAATCTTGGGCAAAGATCAGTTGTTTTCAGATAAACCTTACCTAGACAAATATTTCTTGATCTGCCATGTATAATTTGTCAGTAGGGTGTAGGAGTAATATGTCTAGCTCTGATTTTTTAAACACTAGCTAGCCATAATTTATCTTTTGCATTGCCTAACCCTCCCTCCATGGTTTCCCCAGTTAAAATGTCCCCATTTTTCCCATTTCTCCCTTAATAATACCCTTCTCCTATAGTCCTACCTCTCTTGAGCTCCTTCTTTCCCTTTATCCCCTAGGTTCCTTGTATACCCTTCCCTCCCCCCTCCCTTAAACTAACCCAATTTTTACCCATATCTCCCTTATTAAGGCCTGTTTCCTACTGCTCTTCTCTTTCAGGTTATTTCTTTTCCTTTACATCCCTGTTTCTTTCCATTATCCTGGTTCTTGTAGTTATGTCTGGTTGCATACTTATTAATCAGAGTCTGGTTCTAGGATCCACATATGAGGAAGAACATATGTCGATTTTTTTTTCTGAGTCTGTGTTATTTCACTTAGTATAACAGTTTCTAGCTCCATCCATTTACCTGCAAATTTCATGATTTCATCTTTCATG